CATTATTGTTGTTTCCAGGGGGGCCTTGGTCATGTGAATGACCATAGGCGTTCCCTTTAGACTTCGAAACAGAGCACTTGTAAAGCGATTTCGCTCTCCGCTGTGCTAACACACAGCTTTGTTATTCCCAGAGGCCTCAGTCATGTAAATGGCCACAGACGTCCCGCTTACGCTTTAAAGAAGAGCACTGGCAGTGATCTGTTGTGTCGTTTTTCTTAGACAAAAAGAGCTTATTTGCAACCAAAATTCTATTTGCTGCGTAGCAAAGATGCTTAGACAGCGGGAAGGATAAATATGCCATCTGATGTCTTTGCCGTAGATGGGCTGCAAACTTTTGTTTTCGTGAAGTTGAAATCTATACTGGTGATTCATGGCACAGTGCAATGTATAGACCAGCTTAGACATTATCGCAACAAAAATAAAAAAAGTTTGTCTGGTGGCTGCATATCGAAATGCTATACGGCAACGAGCAGAGAAACATGACAACATGAGACACGGGAGGTTAGTGGTGGTCAAGAACAACATTCCGATTTCAAAGCATATCCTCAGTCTCCAGGAATATGACCGTACCGTCATTCACAAATCAGGGAAACTTCACAAGAACGCCGACTGCCTTTCTCGGCACCCAGTAGACCCAGTGGACTCCATGCCCGATAGGGCGACACTCCCGCTTCTTTCCATATCCGCGACTCTTAACATCGCACGGGAACAGCGTCGTGATAGTACTCTCCAAACCATTATCAATCAGGTCACCGCCGGAACAAATCGCTCATCTTCTAGTCTCTACAGAATTAATGACGGCATCCTCTATCGCCAAAATTTTTGGCCAGACGGTTCTCCTTTACTTATCGTCATTCCTAAGCATCTTCAGACCACAGTGCTCACACAGCTGCATGACTCACCATGTTCGGGCCATTTAGATGTCATTCGACCGTATGCCCGCATCAAACAGCGATTCTACTGGGCAAACATGTACCGCACAGTCAAACGATTTGTCTCCTCGTGTGACTCCTGCCAACGTCGCAAAACACCATCTACGCGGCCCTCGGGAATACTTCAGCCTTTGGCTTCTCCTGACCACCCGTTTCATCGAGTGGGATTGGACGTTCTCGGCCCATTTCCTGAGTCCTGCACTGGCAAACGCTGGGTGGCAGTTGCAGTAGATTGTGCCACACGGTACGCGATTACAAGGTCCCTTTTCACTGGCACTGCTGTTGACGTCGCCTATTTTCCTCCTTGAAGATGTAATCCTCAAGCATGGTGCACCAAGGGAACTCCTCTCCGACCGAGGTCGCCTCTTTATATACAGAGTCGTCAGTGAAGGTTTACGAAACTGCTCCATTGTCCACAAACAGACCAGATATGGCAATAATGACATTACTGTAATGGAATTACAGTAATTAAATTACTTTTTGGACTAATGAGTAATGTAATGAATTACTCCTCTAGGCTATAAATTTAGTACTGTAATGAATTACTTTCAGGCAGTAATTTAGCGAAAATTACTCATTACTTTTGAAATTGCTTTTGTCCTAAATTAGAAAGTTCGCTTGCAAGCTTCAGTAAAGAGGAAATTATTTTACATGGTGAAATGTGAAATAGCATCGGAGTAAATAAACAACGGCCACCTGAGCGCAAAGCCTTGTACGAAGAGCTGTACAGACACACAAAGGAGGGCTGGAAGCCGAAGGAGAAAAGCTTTCTTGTAAACATCGCTGGAAGGCAATAGCTTACGAACTCCAGGTACGACAGATTCATGGCGTGACGTCATCAGAACGATACTATACTTCGTTTATCCCTAAGCTGACAATGCGGTGGGAGATGCTAGCTAACCAAAACCATTATAACACCTTTCTTTAATCCCCTGTCCCGTCCCTTTTTTTGCACGTGGATATGAACGAGAGCGTGGTTATGTGGCGGATGATAGACGTGTGACTGCTCCAACAAACACGTAGCTTTTACCGTTCATCCCTAAGCTGACAGTGCGTCAGCTTAGGCATGAACGGCTCATAGGCTACAAGTCGACGGGTACATCGCTTGTGAGCTAAAGATAATTTAAAACATGAGAGGGCAGGACAAACAGATACACAGCCTTGTCCTTTCGTTAAAGGGATGGTGAACCGAAATTTGGATTTCAAAAAAACAATGCTGGAGATGTAGGCGGGACGCTACAATCCATAAAACACTACTATAGTCGGTTACAAGTCAAGAAGGTAGGAGAAGCTCCTCCCACAAGTGTGATGCGCCCGTTTCAAATCTCTCCGCAGTCGAAAGAAGAGTTCACTGGAAACGCTCCTTGTTCCGCTCCAATGGATTCCCACTTGTCTCCGATCCCACTTTTTAAGAAAGCGACCTTTGTATTCATAGGAGAGGGAACCGAGCCCCTGAAAGCAGCCTTTGTATTCATCGGGGGCGAAGCTAATCCCCGAAAGTCGTATTTGTTTCCGTCGGTGGGGAGAACTCTAATCTCCCTCTCGTGGCTTCCACAATGCTAAGTCAAAGTCGAAAGATAAAGCAAATATGTACAGAAAGGCAAGACCCTCCTCGCGCGTTGTCCGCGACGTCACGGAAACGGTGGGACGCTATTGGATGCGGAGGTGGCGGAGGGATATCTGATTCCCTTTGAGGGGCATTTGCCGCTACCTTCTTAACCTGTAACTGACTATAGTAAGGCGATATCTCAAATGGACGGCCGTATTTTCGGAAGAAGTCGAGATTGAACCAGGCCGACGAGGCGCGAGACCGTCAAGATACCTAGTTTCCTCCTCTCTTCGCTTCGCTTCCTCAAGGCCGCAAGGCGGAGAAGACGCGAGGCCGTTCCCTCTCCTTCTCGGAGAAACATGGCGTCAACATTCCTGCCAAATGCGCCTCATTTTTCGAAAAATACGGTCATCCGTTCGACATATCGCTGTATGAGTGATGTTTTGGTGTTTGTAGCATCCCGAAGCACGCTTTTGCCGCGTGTTTTGGGGAATCCAGATTTCGGTTCAGCATCCCTTTAAGCAAGGTTAAACCGTAAGCTTCGACCATTGTGAACAACAAACAACCGGAATAAATAGGTAATTCCAAATGCCTTGTCAAAGCCCCATAACGTCTCGTGCGTCCTCGAGCAAAAAGGTGCCGCTCGCGGTATGTCTCGCTGCCTTCCCTTGGGAAGTTTATTCGGGAATAAGCCTACATGCAGATATCGCGCCTCCTCCCCCTTGTTTGTTGGGAAAGTACACAATTTAAGAAGCTCTCGCCATTCCTCAACTGGCGACGCTTCTACTTAAAAATTATTCAGGCCCTTTGCGTGGCAATGCACACAAACTTGGGCTCTTCGGGTGTATGGGAAAAATTTTCCTTGAAAGGAATGACCGAGAATAGGCTTTTGGCAGAATAGAATTAGATTGTATCCGAGGCGGAAGAGAAACATCTCACGTGACGACTAAGAACGAGCTGCCATTGCCCGACTTAAATAAACTGACTCGGACAACAACTTCTAAATCAGGAAGACAGAAACCTATCACACTTTTATTAAGAACCTTCCCCGTTGAATGAACAGCGAAACCGGTGAGTCGACTGTCTTTCTGAGTCACAACTAAAGAAGCTATTCATCATCTTTAACGCTCATGCCGTGTGCGCCAGCAAAACCACCGTTCAGTATGGTTTACTTTGAGGCACATAATGTTGTTGCGGTGTAAACGGGAAGATCTGAGTTTTGGTACATATAGACCAACTCAGCTCTTTGACGTGACATCACTGCAGTGGCGCTGGCGTCGGTACTGCGCATGCGCAGCGCCTCGCTTCTCCCGGATCTGGTTCCTGCACACGCGCTGAAAGGGCAAACGAGGGCTTGTTTTGAATACAATGTGTTGGTGTATGCGGTATATGGAATGAGCACGAATTTCTGCCTTAAGGTATTCAAAAGTAATGTCAAAATAATTTCAGAGTAATTTCATTACTTTCGGAAAGTAATTGTAATGTAATGTCATTACCTCTAGTCTGCGGTAATTTGTAATCTAATTTAATTACTATTTGGCAGTTTTCAGAAAGTAATAAGTAATGTGATTTAATTACTTTTTCAAAGTAATTTTGCCATCTCTGAAACAGACAACAGCCTATCATCCCCAAACAAACGGCCTGGTTGAACGACTCAACAGGACGATCTCCGAGATGCTTTCTATGTATATATTCTCTGACCACCGCAATTGGGACACTGTCCTTCCATATGATACTTTCGCCTACAACTCCTCACGCCACGACACAACAAGCTATTCGCCCTTCTATCTTCTATCGGCCGTGAACCATCCCTCATGCTTGATTCCCTGATTCTATTGCAATATGACACTACGCTCATGGACCACACGCTCGACGCCAGGTGTCGTGCTGAGGAGGCACGACAATTAGCACGCTTTCGGACTCTAGATTCGCAAGAGCGGCAATCTGTCCGCTATGATCACGGGCGCAACGTCGCCGTTTAGTCTCCCAGAGCTTTGGTGTTGCTCTGGAGACCTCAGCGTCGCATCGGCCTCGTTCAAAAGCTCCTTTCACGTTATCGCGGTCCATACAAAATATTTCACCAAACCTCCCACGTCAATTATGTTGTCAAGCCTTACGGACCTTTCCAAAATCAACGCCCTGAGCAATCACAGACTGTTCATGTCCTACGACTCAAGCCATACCACGCTCCTCAAAACGGCGAGACGCAGTTTCCCCCGGCGGGCAAGTTATAACGCGAAGAGGAAAAAAAGGCAGCTCGAGAATGGGGACCAAGGAAGACGAAGACGCTAGAGCAACTGGCTGGGTTTTCTACAAGAACCCTTATTCTTCCGATGTCCCCTTCAATGTAAATTAAATCATCTCATAATCACCGTAACAATATAATCATCACACTCCTTCCTCGCTTTTTTTGTTCTGTATTCTTTGAACACTTTAAGCGTAGCTTCAGACTAAACATATCAATACGCAACATTCTTCAGAATAACATCTCCTAAAAACAGATGTAGTTTGACTCAGTGTTTACAAAAAACAGTTAAACATTTTTATTGTTCAAGAAAGCGCGGTAGTGGTTGCGCACACTGTCTTGACTAACAAGGCTTGCAAACTCTGCAACACCGACGGCGAAATAAAAGTGACGAATGACATTCGCAGAATGTACGTGGACTACGAGAATGTAGCAAAGTAACGGAACCACGAACTTCTTGGACACCTTGCCAGAAGAGAAGGCCGTTGCGAGTTAATAACCGACGTAGAGTCTTATATCTTGTCTATCTGTTTATCATATTGTTGCTGATGCCTGTTTGCTTGCGCAGTTTGCAACTCTTCCTGTCAAACCGTCTCCAAACTATGCTACAACCACACAAATAGGGCGCGATCCACGCACTGGAATAGCGTCCCCTAGTAGCGTATCGAATGGTACGCTCACACAAAGAAAGCGCTGCAGCGCCTCGTCTCCTTCGCTGAGGCATGCCTGAAGCCCATATGTGGGCACAAACCACAACGTACACTGGCACAACTCTTAAATGTGTCATTTGAAAAATAGACATAAATACGGCTTTCGCGGCTATTTGTTATTTACTACCCCAGCTTCCAGTAGTGAGCATGAGACACATATTAGGCCCAAACAGAGTTGACCAACGCGCAGCAGTACAGTTCTTGACACTTTCACCCCTGGAAATTGAATACCTAACACTTTGTCGTTCACATTAGTGCAACACTGAAATGCTTGCTTTCGATCGTAGCAATCTTCTAGTTGTGACGCTGCTCACGTGACCCGGGTGGTCGCGAGCCGTGGTGCTCGATAAGGTCTTCCATGAATTGTTTTCCTGTATGCGACGATGGTGTTTTATGGGACCACGCAGAACCATCGGCGTTGACAGAACATTCAAAATTGACGCCCCCTTCCGGACTTACAATTATATCACAACGGCTGCTAAAAGCTTTATTGTTGAGTTCGAGGAAACCTGCGCTTCAACATCGCGCTACTACAAAACCTAGGTTTCCAACAACCAATGGACCTTCAATGGGTTGTGAACCGCCATCAAGACACTGGTATACTTTAGGCTTTCCTTCAAACGACCAAACTCAGTTGGCGGTCGCAAAGCCAGGCTGCTTCTTCAGAGTGCAGTCGGTGTTTTGTACGGGTATAGCGAGATTCTGGACTCTTTGTGTGTCTGCTTGGCTAGTAGACATTACGTTTCCGCCAGAAGCGAATTTCAGACTGCGTCTTCTTTGGGTGTAGGCGGTGCCGCCATCTTCTTTGCCTTGTACTTCTCGAAGATGCACGCCAAGAGCCAGAGGAAGGACACGAACAGCTGGAAGCTTCCCAAGAGTCGAAACAGGTCATCGTACTTGCCATGGGCGTCTCGGTAGTAGCCTGCGAATGGCAGGAAAACAGAGAGAGGGAGAGTCACATATACGTACTATCTTACACATAACGAGGTGCACAGGCGATGCGTGCAGGAAGAAGTGTTGTTGTCGCATTAATCATTGACTTGCAGTAAGTATGTCTGCAAAACAAAAAAACATATCTATTTTAATGGAGAAAAACAAATCACAGAGCGCTGTGTCAGAAAGACAGGAAATGTAAGCAGTGTTAAATACAATATGATTTAAAAGATTTTGTGCGCTATTACATAGTTCTGTGGCACCACCTGAGTGTGTCACAGCTTGTAAATAAATGCTTAGACCTCGGAGTTTTATTTCTATTGAAAACATAGTACTACTTCTGTCTATATGCATACAGCAAGAATGACGTTACCTCGGGTGAAAGTTTATCTCCATATTGCACGACAACGTAATTGTATGATTTTGTGCACGGTTATGAATTGTACTTAAAACGCAAACTACACCAAAACGGTCGGGAAAAAATACTCTCAGACACGCCACAATGAGCGCTGACACTCTTAAATAAGTGCAATCTGGTTTCCGGCTTACTCCAGGGAGCCTTGTTTAAAGCATTTCCGCAATATGGGAACACACGATAGATATCCCCTCTCACAATGCAAATAGATCATCAGGATCAATTGAGAACCGTCGTCGACCCTGACCGCTTAAGATATGCAGGACGAACCGAGTCCCGAGTGTCTCATTATCGCCTTGCAGCTCATGTGATCCCAGCATTTGCAAATAAGAACGCAGAAGTAAGTATCACGAAGCAGGAAGTGTGAACATCATAAGTTACCACCGGCGTGTTGTAAGCTGCCAGCGACTTCATTGCCCGTTGGAAAGGGAAATATTCAGGGGAGGCTTCTGCCGAAAAAAACAAATGCTCCGCTCCAATGTTCGGTGCTTCGAGCCGCGTGATATTAAAATGCGGTTTGTTCTTTGTTGGCTCTCATTTTGAATAGAAGGCGCTGATGGAGCCTGTCGTGACAAAACTGGTGCGTTTCTATTGAGTGGCGTGGTGAGGCCATTTCTCTCTTGCATATCGTGGGCAAAGCATCTTCTCAGCTCCTTCTGCTGGAAATGTTTTTTGTTTTGTTTTGTTTTTTTACATTTGCTGTTTATAGAGTAGAAATTGTGACTCCGCTATTACAAAAACCCGAGGTCCAGACTAGTTGTGCAAGGTGAGTTGCATTTGGTGTTTCAGTGGGATATATGCTCCGTTCTAATGGTTCAGATGTCAAGATGAATGAAACCCACGATAGTATGCGAATGAAGGTTAGAATTCGCATGCATTTTGTCTTTCAGCGTGGATTTGAAACCTCTATATTCATTATATAACACGGTTCATTAATCTGCATGTTGTTGAATATTTCCTATTCTGGGACCATGAAAAGGTAAGGAAAATGACCCTCAATGTGCTCAATTGTAACTTTCACATCGCTAATATTATGTATAAGCTCGAGTGCGCATGGACGCTACAGCACAATTTCCAGTGTAAATTTTTCTAGTAGAGTCTTATTAGCTTATTTACATTGACAAACTGGAGATAATATAAAATCTTATTCAATGCACTGACAGATAACTCCTTATAGACCTTTTCACCCTCCGCCGCATGGGCGCTGCCATCTTGGAATCACGTGATGCGGCCGCCATTAGGTTGCTTCAACTTGTTGCTCCACACTCCCGTCCGCGCCTTGGTGGATGCATTGAATCCGTGTTTTTCGTCGCGTTTCACCGCGTTTCTTGCCCTACTCCGTAAAGTGCCGTCCGATACTTATACTTACCATGCAATTGCATTACATCATTATGCGTGCAATTTCTGTAGTTGATTTTGTAACACGTTTTGAATATTTTTTACCGTCGGCGTGCGGGATACGCGTGAAAAGGTTTTATAGGAACGGGGATCAGCGTTTGCACTTGCGCACATTTAATACATATATGACTGGAAGAGAGCCTCGAGGGTTCAAATACCAATAACTTATGAGAACTGAGGTTTGGTTACTAATAAAGGCGGAACATTTGCAATAGGAAGCCCAATGTTATTATATATATGAGTGCGCATTGGTGTCAAGGAAGAAAACAAAAACACTCAGCGTAATTAGCCACGTGTCTTTCCTGAAAACATTGTGTTTTGTAGTTCCAACAGATCGAAAACAGTTTCTTTTGATTACTCTAGGGAACTAGCGGACAAAGCGCGGGAACAAACATTTAGTTTTAATTATTTTTAATGCTAGAAATAATGGTACCTTAACATTAGGCAACTTGTTTGTTCGCAATATCGCACCTATATCGGTTTTACGTTCTTAATCGCGTGGGTGATATAAGCATTCGCTTTATCGGTTTATTTATGAATTCCACGAAATTGTATATCATGCTTGGTCCCATGTCCATAGTCGTTCAGTTGCTTAAGTCATTTTTTAATATAACCATGCAGTTTCAATTAATTTATTTCAACGCAAATATTTTAACTCCCCGCGTAAGAAACTGCCACAGACAGGTTGATAGTGCCTATGATTTATTAAATGTGACGCCGAAAAGAATCCTTCTGCATGAAAATCACCCGAGTGCAGCCGGTTGTCGACTTCGAATAGGGAGTTACTTTCAGTAGATGGCGACGTCAAAATGTGCAAAGCGCATCGTTTCAAATCAGTGAACACCTTTCTACAAAGGTCCATTGGGTGGCGCCTGGCGTTCGACTTCAGCTAAACTTATCGGAGATCATTTCTTTTGCGCTCTTCAATTTCATTCGGCAAATTTTACGGAAGATGAATATCAGACTTTATTTGAAGTCTGGCATTCACTTATCTCACCATCCTCATACCTTGAAAACGTCGTAAGCAAATGTCCATATAACAAAAAGTTTATTTCATAAGGCCAATATTTTGAAAGGCTGTAAATAAGTTCTTCAGTTAAAGAAATTTTCTAGTCAGCCTATTTCTCGAGCGCTTAATTTCTTTAAATAAAACAGGCCGAGACAATATCTCTTTTTGTACATTATCTACGTGATTATATTAAACTTTTCTAGTCATTATAAAACACGTTTCCAGTCTCGAAGTTAGACAAAATTGGTGTACGGAAACCAAACATCGAACAGTAAACTTGTCAGTTCATCTGTTCTTGGTGATTCAGCAGATTGGTAATCATGTTGTCGACCTGATTTTTCACTAAGCACTCATGTAATATAGTATGTTGCAATATAAGATGGTCAGTTCAATATCTGACTTGAGCGGGAGCTATCTACTTCCGTACCGCTCGGTGCAAGCACAGCCAAAGCACGGCGGCTGGCAACCAGCGCACGCTGCAGGCGGAGCTTGTCCTGCTCTTTACTTTTTTTTTCTTCTTGAAATTAGTGTCCACGGGTACGGCCGTGGAGAAGGGTACTTTTCCCTGTGCATCAGCGCAGTTGTTTCACCGCCGAACCTGGCCGAAATTAAAGATTGACGGAATTAGACGCATATAGTGTTAGTAAAAAAAGATCGCAATTTAGGCTTGAGACCACTTCGTGGTTTGCCAAGTGGCTCAATACTATTGTTTCATTCGCTCTGTGCTACTAGAAAGAAATTCATATCGCAAAATTATTCGAAAGTGGCATGAAACAGCATCACAATCGCGTGTACGTTGAAACCAAAACCGACCAAAATGAAGCAACCTAATGGCGCCGAGTGCGCCAGCGCCCTCTAGCCGCCGGTCAGGCAACTACTGGAATGAAAAGGTCTATACGAAAAAAGATACGGTGGATCTCGGTGTGCTAATGTAGGTAGACTAGTGAACGTTGTGTTTGAACTGGACACTATGTGGGACATACTGTCTAGTGACGTTTAATAAAGTCGCTTACCAAATGGACCAATAACCTTCTCATGAAAAAACCCTTCAGGTTTTTGCACCGAGCAGCTGGTTTTCTTTGGCCCGTGATGCATGCTGATGCTTGAGTTCAAACATCCTATGCGACTTTAATTAACGAGCTCCGCTCTGAACCAGAACTTAATCACACATCTCCAGACTATACACTGAGAAGTATCAAACAACTTATTAGTGTGCAGTTATGTATAGTTAATACAGACCCTGTTTATATAGATATCTCGCTATATAGGGAAAACTTTGTGGAGAATCAGAGTAAATAGACATATTTATGATTGTTATGGGGGGAACGACTGTTATAGTGAGTGGTTTTTGAGGATGGAGGTGCCAATATTAACGAGCATCACTTAACATAAAAGGCAATAAAAACCACCAAGATTAAGATAAACCATCTTAAAAAAAACTGAAACGTTCAACGAGAAAACTTTCGAAAATAAAAGGTGTAATGTAGTCTATTTCTGTACTTATGCAATATAGACTAAGACCAAGTGGTGCAAATTGACCACGATATCTAGCCACTGGCAAATAAGTTTCGCTTCGTCGCAACACTCACCTATTATTTTGGGCCTAAAGAAGTTGGCGTTGCCTGTGATGAAGTTGCTCAAGCCATAAGCGAGCGGCATGAGACGAATGCCCAGGTACTCGAGGAACAGGACTGAGAACAGCGTAATGGTGCTTCCGCCGCAGAGAGCCATGGTGACCGCCAGAGCCGTCAGCAAGCTGTAGCTGTTACAGTAGGGTGCCAAATGCATCAAGATACCCGTGAAGAGATAGTTGAGAAGCATCATGTTCCTGCGTTCGATCAGCTTCTTGTCAGAAATCCAGCCGAGCCCCAAACGACCGACGAGATCGCCGCCAGAGTTTGCCAAAAGGATGTAGATTCCTTGCTCCGGGTCGATGCCATGGTCTTTGGCATAGTCTATTATGATGGTGATGAAGGTGCTGTGATTGAACACGTGAGACACCTGTGACAAGGTGACCAGGAGGAAGTACGGTGAAGAGAACATGTCCTTAAACATGGTCATGGCACCGCATACTTTGGACAGCTTGTCATTCATCTTGGGGAGGTTGCCCTTGACAATTGGAATGCTCGAAGCACGCTCAGCTGAGTTGAAAGTATCAGGGTAGTCGATTGGAATCTCTTGGGACTTGGGTCGGGTGGTTCCGTTGGCGATGACTACTATAGCCTTCCCCTTCCTATCTTCTGACGCTGAATGATCTAGAAGTTTTTCTTTCTCAGCTAGGGGTTCTTTCGCCCGGATGTTTTTGCTTTTGGAAACAATAAATGGCTGGGCAGTCTCATTGACAGCGGCAGTGTTGCTTGCCAGAAGGGATTTGATATCGCCCGACTTGCGGTGTTCGCAATACTTTTCTTTCTCTGCTTGCATACCCTTAGAAACCTGACGGAGGTTTTTTGCCAAATTCTTTGCTGAAGCGTCGCCCTCGAGCACCTCCACATTATTGTTGCCGTTCAGCGCAAGCGAGCACTGTCGATCCTCAGCAGATTTCTGCTCAAGCAGCTTCTCTTTCTCAACGGTCACACCTTTGGCCCCTTGGCACAGATTTCTCGCGGCCGTTCGTGCCAGAACTTTGCTTGGAATGTCGGATGTGCTACCAGACACGTCGGCCAGAGTGAAGGTGCTCCCGGTCATGTTAATCTCGCAATCGTAACGAGGGTTTTTGATGATCTCGGGCTCCACCTCTTTGACCGGTTCAATCGGCTTGCGAATCTTGCTACTCAGCAGGAAAGCTGCAGGGAGGGCGTTCAGGGTGAACCCGCTGGCGATGAGGAAGGCGCCTCGGAGCCCGTATTTGCGGGAACAGTACTGGAACAATACTGGGAACACCAGCGCCACCAGTGTCGGTCCAGAGAGGTTGATGCCTGAGGCGGTTGCACGATTCTTCTTGAATACGTTGTTCAGGATAACGGCTGTCAATGTGAACACCAAGCCCGTGCCAAGTCCTGAAATTGGGAAACAAAAAAGAATGCATCAGCTGTTGTTTTGCGGCACTCGCTAAGAACCCATGACCTTCATTGAACATATTTCTGAAACGTTGCCGTTCACTGGCCAATTGTAGACTGTGTCTCCATATGATCGATATCCTGAAGAAATCTTTCACCCGATTTCGACATGCAATCCTTAAAAAAGGCCGACCCTATCGAAACATCAGGTATAACTTTTCACTATCCGGATTATAGAAGCGGAAATTTGCTTCTGGAAACCCAAAATTCAGATTGCAGACAAAGGAATAATTCCTGAAAACCTAAATTCCAGGTAGTGTCCAGTGAGAATCCAGATAGATTTCCGGTTCCATAATCCGGATAGCGAAATGTTATACCGGATTTTTTGGTAGGGAAACCAAGTAGTTTTCAACAGATATAGAACGTCCTTTGCCAAGTTGAAAATTAAACGTGTTATGGGCATCTGTTTTCAACATTTCTTTCTAAACAGTAATCACTCTATTTATTCTTGAAAGTTAATAGATCGTGAAACCGAAATCCGGTTCTGTTCTAGTCCTTTCACTTTTTCAGAAAGAAAAAGAAGACAACACCCGAACCCGCTTTTCTCAAATCAACACTGAAATGAAAAATCACGTTGCTGTGACCTAGGACTTTTCCGGCACCTTAAGTTCTCCCAGCGGGGCTAGGGTCAGTGAAGTTAGCCGTGTTCCTTGCGCCTGGTGCAATCGCCCAGAAATGTCGACCTTCGGCGGCCAACGTTACCAGATTAATATCAGTTGCCAAGCTTTCTACAATGCCTGACGCTTTTTGTGGCACGTCCTCTAGGTGGCACTCGCTACTCTGCCAAGCTCAGCCCAGCCAATATATACAGAAGCGACGGAAGAATTGGAGCGTTGGATGCACGTTGTGCGTGGTGGAGAGTGATTTTTCTGTAGTTTTTATCCTCAATAGAAAGTTTGCGCAAAAGTAGTGCCTTTGAAAACGGTCCTTCTCCGTTGCTGTGCCGCCGATGGTTGCGCTATCCGTCCGTGACTGCTCGCATGCGACAACAGAGGAGGACCGTTTTCAAACTACGCTCTTCTGTGAAGCTTGATAACTTATAGATCTAACAAAGTTAATGGCAACAGCTCCCCCCCCCCCCCTTCCTTAGCCTTAGTGCCGACGCAGTTACATCATTGTCCAGAAACTCACTGGGACGTATTCAGTTGAATCGATTTTGCTTTCGTTGAAGAAAATAGGTGTAATTTCAGGTTGTCAAATTTGACGGTATTGGTTTCAGAATGCAATGACCTCAAGGTTCGAAGGTGCTTTTTAGACAGACCAATGAACTTGTTGTATGAAACTTATAAATAATAAGTAGCCAGGATAAGAACTAGTGAAATCACAGCGAGGAATCGCCTGGTGATTACGTCACAAATTGAACCACAACAGTGCGCCACCAATGCAACTTGAAATAAGAGCGTAGCTGAAGGCTACAAGGATGGGCTCCGGGGCTTTAAACGTCCCTGCCGAAAACGGGCGCTCGTGCAGTCCCGCCAAAGTTCACAAAGCATGCTGGTGTTTGTAACTTTAGATTTACTCGCACGGTAGCGAAACAGACTATGATAGACGGCGTATGGCTCTAGACATTGGTAAGCAGAATTCCCTTCGTATGTTTGGACCGGTTTCGGGGAGCTTTTTAGTAGGTATATTCTTGCGCGTGCGACCGTGCACTAGCATTTACCGCTCCAAAGGCGCAAACATGGAGCTTGTGATCGCTCCAAGTCCTTCTAAAGAATTCTTTATTAGAATTTGACAATTTCCGTCAGGGCACTCAAATCCATACCTCGGCAAACCTCACTCATGAGGGCCCTCACTCACCCTCACTCACCCTCATCTTTACAGGTGAGGTGAGGGTGAGTGAGTTCCTGAACCAGGAAAATTCATGAGTGTGAGGGTGAGTGAGGGCCGTGAGGGCGGTGAGGGCGGTGAGGGCGGTGAGGGCCGTGAGGCCCGTGAGGGCTGTGAGGGCGGTGAGGGCCGTGAGGGCCGTGAGGGCGGTGAGGGCCGTGAGGGCCGTGAGGGCGGTGAGGGCCGTGAGGGCGGTGAGGGCGGTAAGGAGTATGAGGGCCATGAGTGCGTGAGGGGCGTGAGGGCGGTGAGTGCATGAGGTGGTGTGAGGGCCGTGAGGGCGGTGAGTGCCTGAGGCCCCCTTCAGATCGAGCATCTTTCTCAGCAATTTTGGTATTAATGGCGGGTTGTTCTCTAGCTTTCCCTAGATCGACACGAATTGCTGAGATCGGGTCCGGCACAAAATAAGCAAGCAACTTGGAGCAATTCGAATACGTTTGAAGCGGCTGCATCTAATCAGGGACGCAAAATTTTCACGTGATACCTCGTGCCGGTGATGACGACACCGAAAGACTTGGTTCTCGTTTGAAATCGATCGTTTTTTGGAAATAAACTGTTTCAGAAAGGTGCATTAGTATTCTTAACGGGATTTAAATGCATAAAAACACGTTTATAACCCGTAATTGTGTCTAAATAGTGCAAGAAAAATAAACTTCTATGATGACGATGGCAAATTGCAGCAATTGGTAGCTGCGTGTGATCGCGGGCGGCGCGTGTTGCTGGTGTTGCGACCTAAAGTTTCTGGCCGAAATTGCCCCATCTGAAGCTGGCCTGAGTGGCGTGAGGGCCATGAGTGCGTGAGTGGCGTGAGGGCGGTGAGTGGCGTGAGGGCGGTGAGTGGCGTGAGGGCCGTGAGGGCGGTGAGGGCGGTGAGGGCCGTGAGAACCGTGAGGGCGGTGAGGGCCGTGAGGGCGGTGAGTGGCGTGAGGGCTATGAGTGCGTGAGGGCCGTGAGGGCCGTGAGGACGGTGAGGGCTATGAGTGCGTGAGGGCCGTGAGGGCCGTGAGGGCGGTGAGGGCGGTGAGGGCCGCGAGGGCGGTGAGGGCGGTGAGGGCCGTGAGGGCGGTGAGTGGCGTGAGGGCGGTGAGTGGCGTGAGGGCCATGAGTGAGTGAGGGGCGTGAGGGCCATGAGGGCGGTGAGGGGCGTGAGGGCCGTGAGGGCGGTGAGTGCGTGAGAACCGTGAGGTTCAGTGAGGGTGAGTGAAGGGCTGAAGGTGAGTGTGACTGTGAGGGTGAGGTTGAGTGAGGGGCTGAACATGAGTGTAGCTGTGAGGGTGAGGGTGAGTGAGGGGCTTAGGTGAGTGTGGCTGTGAGGGTGAGGGTGAGTGAGGACGACCTAAAATGCCGACCTCTGCTCAAATCACGAATATTCGCCTAGAGATTGACAATCGCAATCCAAGTGACGTAGTGCGCACGTTTAATACGTTAGCTGGATTTCGCTGACTCCCTTGGACACTGCGGAAGCATCATGGTAAAAAGGTAGGAAGCTTTCGAAAGAGAGAAGGTAAGAAATAGTCTGGTTTCATATTAAACATTTTATCCCGAAATTAGGCCCTTGGCTTTCTACCTTCGTGCGCTATTTCTGTTGTGACCAACGAAGCGATTCGCTGTCAGTAAACACCGAATCTTACATTATTTCATGGTCACTTTGAACTTTGAGTTAGGGCAAACTTTACAAAAAAGAATAAAGACTGTTTGACTCTTAACAGCAGATAAACATACGATTTCTCGTATCGCCTCACCTCTCTGCGCTACTTCAGTGTTAATGATCATCGCTTGAAATAGTGCTGACTTTGCTGATGTAGCGGCAACTTCGCGCTAATTGGTGATACAGCGATGTTATTGTGGTGCATCAGTGGTAAGTAAGCGCAGCATCAACGCTGTTCCTAGTGTTCGTAATTAGCACTTCAATATATGTGTCAACCGGCCCTTACATTGCAGGATGATCTACCTCATTCATTTTGACTGGGTGTCATTTATGCGATTTCCACCCATCGACAATAGATATATCTCGTAAGTTTCGCACTACTGACAACGACCTCTTTCGTTAAGAAAGGAACGCCCTCATTGATTTCCAAAGCAACACCCAGCCTTTTTTTACAGCCGATTTTCGGCTTCGTTACGTTGACAACCCTTATCATCGATTGAGAGCAGAATAAAACAACCAAGTTTGAGGTTTAGCGCGATGCTCCTGCTAGTGCCATCGCATACGTCGGACACATACTTGTCATATTTAAGGCATTGAATCTCCTGTTGGGCGCAGACTGTCAGGCAAACATTCATTCCATTACTTACCGAAGGTTCTAAAAGCGGATTTACGCGAGACTGAGTTTCTGTCTAGAGTGTTGAATCGAAACATTGCCCCGGAAAAACAAAAAGTAAAAGTACTATCTATTGTTGCACACGTAATACAAGGGTAGCAGACATCAATATGCTCTTAAAAATGTGTAGGTACATCCGCGAACCGTGTTTTATTACATTACACTAGCTACATTTATCACATCATTTGAGCAATGTTGATATGTACCTTAATTTATATTTACAATATAAATTAAGAAATGTAGCACACTTTGTACAGTTGATATTTTGTTCGATCTTAAGTACTTCTCTTTAGTACTACGTTGATGATTTTATAACACAATCACATCCTTGTCTAAAGCAGATATGCCATAGAGAGTTTGCAAACCCAAGTTACAAGGGAAGCAAGAGCGTTTGCAAACCCAAGTTACAAGGGAAGCAAAGGTCAGCGTCATATTTGTTCTGGTCAAATAGGTACGTACTACTTGCTATTAAAATCAATTTCGCAGAAAAATACTAAAACAAATATTTCCATTTACGAACATCCGGGTAGGAGAATATTCAGGCCATTAGGTTTCATGCACCATGCAACTAGTAGATTGACAAAATAATTAAACTAGGCCTCCAACAAAAAAAAAATTTCGCAACATTTTTGGGGTGAGCAAGTGTAAGCGGCTATACGTGGACACCCGCAGCGCTCTGTGCTAGACTAACCTACAGAAAGAAAACACCTGCATGCGTCAGCTAATATCCTATTTGAGTCCCAGAAGGGAAGCAGCGCATCAAGATGCGGAAATAAGCGGCCCGGCTCCGTGTACAGAAGGGTCTTTTGCGGCGCCGGACAACCAACCTTGGCTAATGCTGTAGTAGAAGTTGATCTGCGTCATGTTAGTGGCCGTGTAGCAGAGCACGAGTCCCGTGGCAGAGATCAGGGTTGCGATCACCACCAGGATCCGGTCGTTGAGGTAGTGCATCAGGACACCCACCGACAGACCTGCAGAAAGCACGACGAGAAAAAACCACTTAACGACAGAAATAAATGACGAGAAAATCGAAGAGGTCCCAGAATTTAGCCAAAGTTATACCAAAATGCTAAAACATTTTCCTTCGGGGCGCAGTTTGGCAGAGCAATCAAAACATGACGACGTTCACGTGCTCCGTGTTCAACGCCAAGTACCTATCTATGTGCACGATAATATAATACAGCATGTGCAAGTACGTGCCAACGCGGAGTTTGGAATTCTACGGCGAGTTTTCGCAGCGGATCCTAAGGTATGCTTCGTGTAAGATCGTAGATCCGCTAAATTTAGTGGCACCCTGTCACGGGAAAGCTTGAAAATAATTCGTAATAAAAGTTTTCTGGAAATCGCTTCTTGCTATTTTGGCAAACTTCCCTGCTAAATTTAACAGTAACTTTTCTACACTAGGTAGACTAGCGTGAAAATGCTTCGCGATATTACCGCGTAATCATGGTGCACGTGACACTGTGACGTTGAATAGTCACGGATTAAATAAAAATAAATGTTCACGTTACGTCATGTCACGTGATATCAAAATGCAGACGAGTGTGCAGCACTTCGGCTGCTGCCGCATTTCCTTGGCCGGACAGCCATGGAAAAAGGCATTCGTACTGAACAGTAGGCACAAAAAAGGGCTTTTTCGTTAGTAACGCATAATTACAAAACAGGCTAATTACACGCTCTGGCTAATTACACGCTTTGCACTGAATATGCGTATACATTGGTAGACGTATACACGAGCGCCGTACGATAATGAAGAAATTAAAAAGCAAAACACTTAGTGTGCTTGATTTTATTTCGCGTCTTTTTCATGAAACGACCTCCGTATGATTTACAAACGCGTCAAAATGCGGCTCATTAGAAAGCTTCATTTTGTGTGCGTTAGCGCGTGTTGATAATGAGGCCCTGTTTGTTTTCAACAACAAAATATGGGGAAGAGGTATAGCTACACGGCTTTGAATAACAATGGACCAAATGCTCTACACGAAACGTATTCATAGGGCAAAAATGCTAACCACTGCCTTTATCGGCCACCATCAAAACGGGCATCCTATATCTGAACAGACCTACAACTCAGGAATAAGTTACCTAGTGATTTGCGTAATTATTCTTAGTCACTCGCAATATTGGGAGATATATGTGGTATAACATGCACCCTTAACTTTAAATTGGCCTTGCAACCCACAGATGGCACCACCGTGTTGAAGAGAGGGCTATAATTCAGTTTCGTAGCGCTCCCTACGCAGCTGCCTCAAAAGTTTGCCGTGCTTTTAGGGCGTGGTGTTATCTATTAGCAGCCGTGACAACGGTTGGTCGACCGAGCCATCCATTCGTGCCTTTATGTTTTTTTGAACTTTTGTTACATATATATTGTCACAGGCGGCTTTGCACATTTTTCGATTTTTGCGCCTGGACCAATAGAAGGGACGCATGACTGAAATCGTTAATATGGCGGCGCATCTAATGGCCATGAGGTTGATACGGTGGGCGTGCTTTAGCGAGATGTTGTATTAGCGCGTTTTTTTTTTTTTTTTGCGTAATTGGTTGCAACAACCGTTAGCATATCAATGTAGGGTTTAACGGCGTAGAAGAAACGAGGGCCAATGAACGCGACGGAAAAACCAGCAAAAACCTTAAACAAAATAGTGGGCCATAATATAAATGAATGTACTAAAACGACTCGTCTCGAATATTATGCGTATATACAGTCATGTCTCGTTAATATGAACCCCGTTAATATGGATACCCCGCCGCATGAACATTATTTTCAGGGACAAAGTGGGAAAATACATGCATTTTTGTCTCGTTCATAGGGACAACTCACATGAAGGACGATATTTTGGGGGAACGGACGTGTCCATATTAACGAGACACTACTGTATTATACAGCATGTTCTTTTTTGTTTGGCTTTTCAGATTATTCTTAGAAAAGCCGTGATAGTTACACTAATGCGGTGTGTGCAGGTGCGTTATACGGCCGACGGGACACAATATGGGCGACTAATCGACTAACTCTCTTAATTACCTAATTTTTGAAAATAACCATATGTTTCTAATTAGAAACTTGTTGAGTGGTATCGAAAACCACTGAACCAGTCAATTTGAGAAATATTGGGAGCGCTTGGGAAGCGCGACCACGCGCTAAAGTTACCAGGCGTGCAGGAGGTTCATGGCTGGAGGTGCAAGAAGGCGATTGATAAGCGCGCGGTGGTGTTACCCTCGCGTTCCCGCACCGCTAGCCTTGCGCCTCTTGCACGAGTGGTAACTTTAGCGCGTCACCGCGCTTCCCGAGCGCTCTAAATCGTGCTAAAGTTGATTCATTTAGTGGTCTACAATAATGCTGAGCATGTTCCTGATCGGAATCTTATGTTCATTTTGACTAACTGAAAATAATGCGCGAAATCTCGTTTATGATCTATTATACTGTAAACGACCTAATCTTAGAGAAGAACTAATTTTTGCGAATTTCGAGACTTCAATAATATTGCGAAAATAGAACACGTCAATATGTTTCCCTAAGGTTGTAAATACATACCAGAGCACCCTCTTAGCGCAATTTCGTGCCCGTGAAATATTCCAGAAATCCGCACTTTCGAATTTGCGGAATATTGAGCCCGCGAAAATAAAGTACAGTTAACAGTATCATGACGATTAGCCCCTTAAATTATGGAGGCCTGGCCGTATAACTCACCTGAACTGACCGAATTAGTGTAGCTTTCACGGCAGTTTTAAACCAACCTGTACCCCCCCCCCCCCCCCCACACACACACACACACACACGCACGCTGTAAAACCTGGTAGCTTTTCAATGACTTCCAGAAACTTAAGGAAACAAGGGAAACGTTACGAAAGGATGGTCGTTAAGCAGCAGGACCATGCACAATGGACTTTGCGGCGAAAAGCGAAAGTGGAGAAGAATGTAGGATAGGGCTATCGCGCAGTCATGTGATTTACTTTCATACTTCCAAGACCAATAACTGTGCTTCAATGTTCATATATTTTTCTTGCCAAGGAAATAATTCTCCCAATCACAAACAATTCTAAAGACTGTCAAAATTATTCCCGCTTGAGTTCAACCGACTGGGTAGTGAGTGCTTATGGCTGCTCATGACGAGAGGGTCGATACTGGCAATTGAGGTTCGTGCAACACGTAGTAGTGAAATTAGAGGAGTAGTGAAATGCGAGGACTCAAGACACTTAATGTCTGGACCAGCCTTAAAGAGACCATAAATTGAGTTTTCAACTTCTTCTTCCTTGGCTTTCCTCCTCAAGTCAAAAGCGAAACGTGAAATCACGTGGTCATGAAATAGTATTTCATCGGTTGCGATGATTCCCAGATTAGTTAACTGCCGCTCCCGTTGATTCACAAGAGGACTTCACCTTGAGTGAAGCTTCGACAATACTAGTTTTATCTTCTCATGATATATCAACATCACGTGCATACGAAAGATCTATCATGAAGGGAAAGCCCGCTAATCATACTGCTTTCATTACATGTACACAAAACAGCTCTAAACAAATACTAAATGACCGCGGTATAAAAGGCAACCTTGTTTAACTGGTGAGTTAACACAAATGCAGGTGTTTGGCATGCCGTGAATTAAAAGCTCTGTACGCACCCTGTATACGCCATTTGAACTAAACTGATTAAAAGTTCAGCTATTCGCACATACTCTAATATTTTGTATAGCACATGATGCTACACGCGGTCAAAGGCCTTCTCCAGATCAATCTGGAATATGGAAACCGCATCTAGATTCTCACCGCTGTTATAAGTGACTTCTGATAGGAACAGACCCCCTTTCCACGCTAAGCGATGCACCTGCGCGACCTTCACAGAAGATCGCATTTTGAAGTTCCCAAAAGGCATGGAATCGCGGAGCGGATGGCGATCGCGTCTGACCTCCAATGGAGATACCTACGGACTTGCCCCGCCACTGCTGGGACCATCCTGAAGTTCACCACTGTGCGAGCCTCGCCCGTCATTGCTGTGTAACTCTCCGGAGAACCACCGTGATCTTCCTCGAGGAGACAATGCTCGTATTGAACCATGGTTAAAAGCGCTAAAAAGGCGTACACAAGATAGAAGACAAACAAGCGCCCGTGTTTGTCTTCTATCTTGTGTACGTCTTTTTAGCGCCTTTAACCATGGTTGAATACAGTCAACACCAACTAGCCCAACAACAAGTTCTTTTACAGACATTGCTCAGCTTAACGTTGCTGGCTGTCACGTTTGTGGTGGGAGCTTTGCTCGCCGAAGGTCGGCACCCTTGCCCTCCTGATTCGTCGACGGCAGCGAGGAACTAGATGCAGGTGCTCTCTCTGTGAGAGTGTGTTTCGAGGAGGTGTTGGGGGGGGGGGGGGGGGGGGGGGGCGGTAGCGTGACCGTGTGAATCTTTGACTTTGCCGGCATTGGCTGCCGCGTGTTTCTCTATTGTTCATACCTAAGGAACTGGGGGAAAGGGGAGCTGTTAAAAAGGAGCAGCGAGCTCCGAAAGTTGTGATCTACTGAACTGCTGTGAACATGTAAATAAAACGGATTTCAAGGGGACGCCCGCTTCCTGACTCCGAAACGTCCCTATCCGTGGTCCACCAGTTTCTTGGTTTGGCCTTGCCCCAAGCTGGCCGTTAACATGGTGCAGAGGCCCGGTCACGACAGCTGGTGACAAGCGGTGGGATGAACTGGAGCGACTTCAGCGGCGGACGGTTGGCGAGTGCCTCATTTGAGCTCATGAGGACGCCAGAACCCTAAATCGTTAGATGCGGGACCTGGCAGTGGGGCTACTTTCAAGCGGATTTTGCTTTGGGTACTTGAGGTAGTCGTAATGGAGCTCGGATTGCAGTCATCATGAATCTCGAGAGGTTGTTGAAACCAGACTTGCTTTTGATGTGCGGAGAATTGGGGATTGACACGTGTAAGATTCATCGGAAACCCTTTCTCGTAAACACCATTCAGAATATCGGCTCGGACGGC